CTCAGGTCATTCACTCTGTTTCAAATGGTTCAAATGTCGACATCTCTGTGACAGGTGTGTGACAGGTGTGTGACAGGTGTGTGACAGGTGTGTGACAGGTGCAGTAAACCTAGACTCAGTCAGAACAAAAGACTGAGGTGAAGTGTTTGTGTTTCAGACTCCTGTGACGTTTCTCTGGACCCAAACTCAGCTCACAGACGTCTGCTTCTGTCTGACGACCATCGGACTGTGACTCGAGCGAAGGAGGAGCAGAAGTATCCAGATCATGACGACAGGTTCACAGACTACACTCAGGTCCTGAGCTGCACTGGCCTGAGGGGGCGCTGTTACTGGGAGGTGGACTGGAGCGGGGCGGTTGTTATAGCAGTGAGTTACAGAAAGATCAGACGGAGCGGACGGGGATGGGACAGTGCGTTTGGATTCAATGATCAGTCCTGGACTCTGAGGATCTGTGAGGATGGACAGTACAATGTCATTTACAACAGAAACACAACACGACTCCCCCTCTCCTGTCAATCAAGGAGAGAGGGCGTGTCCTCTGGTAAAGGGGGCGTGTTCTTTGGCAGAGTGGGCGTGTTCCTGGACTCTGAGGCTGGAGAACTGTCCTTCTATGACGTCTCCTCTGATGAACTGTTCCACCTCTGGACCTTCTCCTCGTTCTTCTCTGAGCCTCTGTTTCCAGGGTTTGGACTGTTTCCCGGTTCCTCTGTGACTCTGGTGAGTGACGAGACAAAACAGAACAGAAACTAGACTTGACCCACGATGACGACACAACAACGAGAACAAAAGAATATAGCTGCAAGCGGCAGTGATCGGCCCTCGTGTGCCCCACAAACACCTCGCCCCACTAACCCTAATAACCATAAACCCAACCATGACTCTGACCCAACACTGGGCCTGACCCTGCCTTTTTTCTAAATATCTGCACGTGTTTATTTAAAAAAAAATAAAAATAAAAGATGGCAGACTTCTGGTTTGTAAAAGGGTGTGGTCACAATATAAATTCGTGTTCCTGTTGCCATGACGCATCTGGAAAACCTTTGATGTCCCACCTCCTGGAAATAATTTGTACCATATTTAAGAGTTTGGCTTCTGACCCATGTAGGGAAAATGCCTGTTCAGGGCCTGCTTCCCCCATTCTGATAGAATCCACAAACCAGGAACCTAGAGAAGTCGGTTCTGCCTGACTGCCTCTTGGTATTTACAACCTCAAGAGAACCGACCTTCGGTGCTTCCACACCTCCCTTCCCCCACGCCAGGTGGGACATGAATCAGAATGGGGAATTGCTAAAGTGATAAGGACTGTTAAATAATGACTTTCTTCATTGTGCTTTGAAGAAACAGACCCACATCATCTACATACCAGACCATCAGGCGCCAAGGTTTGGACCGGTTAAAACCGCGATGGACTGTGGTTGCCACTTTTGGACACTAGAGAAGGACTGGATTAAACGCATCTCGATAACTAGTTAAAAATGTTTTTAACTGTGTTCTATATAAGGCTCATGTTGATACAAGACAAATATGCCACATTGCTTAATTCATGTGTTCATAGTCTCTTGTGTGTATTTCATGTCATGTTCCCGCGGAAGTATTTACGGTAACTTCACGGCGTGTTTTCGGGCAGATATACCTTTGATTTCTTTGTATGAATCGTCCGGCTAATGTTATCGTAAACAGTTAGTACCTGAATGTGGGAAGTTATCAATTTAATATTTGCAAATGATATTTGTACGGGGACCAGTTCAGCTCAGACGCGGGCGTGCCTTAAATTTGCATATAACAACGCCCACCAAGCGCACTGACCAAAACGAAGCCTCACGCGCGAAAACTTCGCTTTCGCTTCGCTTCGCATCAGGCTTTTTCCACTACGCATCGCGCTTTCCGCCTTGCCTCGCCGCCGCGAGGACCCGCCGAAGAGGACCAGGGAAGACGGCCGGTCGGAGAGACCCAGGGGGAGCTGTAACAGACCTGGAGTCGCACCTGCCGAGAGCTGAGGACCAGAGCCGGTGAAGGAGGCGTGGACCGCCCTGCCCGAGTACCGTCATCACGCCGCTGCCTGCCCGTGCGCACGACCACCGCCGAACCCCGCCATCGCCGCATTCCACACGGACCGAGAACAACATCGCCAAGTCAAGGCTGGTTCAGACAGTGAATGAATAAGGGTTGGCATCCCTCTTACGATTGCGTCCAATTATTCCTAAGGCAAGCGCAGTAGCGACTTAGCGAAACGCCATAACTGAGCTAAACTGAACCCCGTTTTATAACTACCTCAGGTTGTTAAAATCGGTGCTTTAATGTTACGTAACCAGAACTTGGAAGCTGGTGTCTAGTTATTGTTTGTTAATAAACCACACAAAGGAATTTGCTGGTTTCAGTGATTTTTCTTAAAGTTATCATCAGGTCACTTTTTCGGGTACGTTCCCTTCAGATTGATTTAATTGATAAGTTGTTGTTGTCGCATATGGTTAAGTTTGATTCGGTCAGAATCTGGTGCCCCGCAAATGTATAATTTAAATAATTCGTCAAAAGCTAAACCACATGCTCAAACACGCACATCTTACAACACGTTAAATCGCATTTTCTCCTACACCCACGATAAAAAAAATTGGATGGAAATTTGCGAGTGTTCAGGTGAGCGCCCTCGGAGGAGTGTGTAAAAGTATGAAGCTCACAAAAAATGCTGAGTCATGCTTAGAAAATTTCAATCCAATATTGCTGCCCCCTGGTGGAGCGCATGGTGTTGGTGTAATAATATTTTTTCCTTGTCTTTTCATGATCGACTTCTGTGTCAAATTTCATGATTCTATGTGCAAACATTTTTTTCCTCATTCCAGGTGGAGATGGGTTGGCAGGTTTGGTGAGGAGTTGGGGCAAAGGTTAAAGTTATAATTAGGGTTTAGGGTTAAGGTTAAGGTTAGGGTTACATTTAGAGTTAGGCCTAGAGTTAGGGTTTGGGTTAGAGATTAGACTTCTGGTTGGGGTTACAGTTCTTAGGGTTGGTGTGGGGCTCGGTGTTGTGATGTTTGCGGGTGGAGGCATTTGTGGGCACAGCGAGGGCCGTTCAACACCACTTGTAGCTTTAATTATTCTTCTGCTCTTTGAGCTCTAATTTGACCCCCTAAACATGTTCAAAAACTCATCAAACTTTGCTCAAAATTCAGAAGTGGTGAAAAATTCAATAAAATATAAGTAAAATGGCGACACAGCGCCACCTGCAAAAATCAAAATACATTGCGCCTATGGGAGACGTCCCGACGTCAACTTTGTCGTAGAGCCACGAAATTCGGTACACACATTCGTCATGTGAAGACAAACAAAAAATATTATTATGGCCACGCCCCCTGACAAACCAGGAGGCGGCCATCTTGGATTGAAGTTTGAGTCCGTGTTTTCGCTGACGTTGTGTTTGAACGAACTCCTCTGAAGGCGCTTCACCCACAGGGCTGAAAATCACCGTACATCATCTAGACAAGTGGAACATCAATCAAATCTAAATTTTGGAGAATTTCAAGGTGACATTATTTGCTCCTGTTCACACAGACTTAGTCTGATCGTGCTGAAATTTGAATCACTAATGTGTGATCTCAGTCTGAATATAATACACTATAAAACATATGAAAACACTATAGCGCCCCCTACCATAGACATGAAACATCAATTCTATGAACAACTAGAAGCAAAAACAAATCACTGACATGAGGCATTTTTCACGGTTGGACAGCAGGGGGTGCAAAGACAAAAACATTTAAAGGTGCATTATGTCATTTTTCTGGCCTGGGTGGCCAAACCAGAAGTCTGCCATCTTGATTTATTTATTATTATTTTGTATTTATTTATTTATTTTTTAAATCAACACATGCAAAAATTTTGAAAAATGTCAGGGTCAAGAGGAGAACAGGACGAGTCTGGAGGTGACTGTGTGTGTTTTGTTTCAGCTCACAGGACCAAACACGACTGAACGACTCAAAGAAACACACTCTCCTCAAGAACAACCACGCCTCAAGATATCTTCACCAAGGTCAGTAATATGTAATATGTAATATGTAATATATATGTATGTATATGGGTGTACCTGTGTGTATTGTGATCCCTACCACAACCATCACTGAAACCAATGAGCTGATCTACACTTCAGCAGCAGTGATCCTAGATGTGTTGGGCTATAAAATCAACCATGGAGCCATGAGATACGACACCCACCATGGAAAAGACGGTTAGAGGCTAAAATCAAGGAGGCGTGGAGAGAAGTGAACCAACTGTCAGACGCCCAGAAAGGTGCAATGAAAAAGCAAGTGCCCAAGAGGAACAGCCAGATGCCCGAACTGAAGCACTTGAAACTGCCAAACAAAGGCTCCAAGCCTTGGCCAGCCGCCTAAAGAGGTACACACGAGATAATGAAGCCAGACGAATAAACCGGCTGTTCACAACACAACCGGCGAAAGTGTACGCTCAGTGGCAGGGTAATAACACCAGAGCAGACCCACCAAGGCTGGAGACTGAGAGGTACTGGAAAGGCACATGGGAGAGGGAGGCATCACATAACACCACACAACCTCGCTGAACAGAATCCAGTCACCATCCCAGTGGAGACATCCAGGAAATAGTCTCAGGTATGAAAAACTGAACCAGGCCCTGACATGATCCACACATACTGGCTAAAGAAGCTCACTGCTCTCTACGAGCGCCTGCAGCACAAATGAACCAGCTGCAAAGGGATGGGACTCACCCTGAATGGCAAACCCAAGGGCGTACGATCCTGATCCTGAAGGATCCCTCAGAGGGTGCAGTGCAACTATCGGCCAATAACCTGTCTCTCCACACATGGAAGCTCATGTCAGGCATCATTGCAGCTAAGATAAGCAGCACATGGATCAATACATGAGCACAGCACAGAAGGGCATCGGCAAAAACACCAGGGGAGCCAAGCACCAACTCCTGGTGACCGAACAGTCGCCCGCGACTGCAGAACCCGTAAGACCAACCTGTGCACTGCCTGG